CGAGGGCCAGTAAGGGCCCCGGGGCAACACCTCACAGGCCCCCCCCCCCCTTCCCTTGGGACCCCACTCGGCCGCTCCCCAACCACTGCAGATTCCCGGCCACAAAGAAAGTCTCTATGCAGGAAATGGCATCCCTCCACCCCACTGGATATGTGATGGCCACAGACAGAGATTTCATGACGGTGAAGCACCTATGGATTGGGGGGGGGGTGGGGATCTGGTTTGGGATGGGAGAGCATTAGGTGGACTATTCCCCTGGGGGATTATTCATCTAGTAATAAAAATACAGAAAGATTGAGAAAGACGCCCATAAAACCATAATGTAGAGTTTGTTCTGACAACAAAAGTTTTCATCCTGGCTTTGGCTCGGGCCCTATGGAGATTTTGTCTTACCCCGAAAATTTTTCATCTTGGTCCGGGCACCCCCAGTAGACCCGGGCCCCAGGGCAGCGACCCCCGACCCCCTCTCGACGCCACTGATATCGGGAGACTTCCCCTTGGACCACTTCCGTTTTGAGAACGCCCGACCACGTCCACTCGCTCCTCGCCGGTCAGGGACATCGGATTCCCCCCATTTCCAATGTATGTGCTCTCACTTATCTATTCTGAAACTGCTGTAATAGGTGGGGGATGACGCTAAAAGATCATATTTTTCCATTTTGTGTAATAGAGAAACAATTTCTCATTCTCATTAAACATACAAAATAACCAATGATATAGACACAGAAAGTATATCATTACTGTGTATTTTATTCAGGTATCGCATAACCGGTAGACACATATTGCGATTGAAGGTCGATCGTTTTATACAATAATTTATAAATAAACTTCCTTGAACCCTGTACCCTTGTAAAGTCGGAGGCCATAACATTCACTTTCATCACATCAAAGCAGTGTGTGGAAATACCTGAATGCACATTCCTTAACTGTACATCCATGGTAAACACAATACCAGAGTTTAAAAGAAGATTGAGTTAGATTGTAAAGCACTCACTTTAAGATTTAAAGGTAAAGAACTATTTCCAAATTTGAGGATTTAAACAAAGTTAAAACATGAAAATGAAATATGAATATCAGTATAAAAAGCACACTTGTTGGTGAGCCAGGAAACTCAGCTTTGGTCAATACTTTTACTGTACTTGCTTTAAAATATACAAAAATATGCAACATGTTATACTAGAAACTTTTTCAAAATAAAATAAAAAAAATCACAATTATAAACAGACTCAACTTAATATATTTTTAATGTCACAATAACAATAAAAAAAAATTTAAAAACCACAAATAATTAAAAACTGAATTTTTCAACAGTCATAAAATATGATTCCTCTTATCCGGTAGGCGTACAGTAGGCCTATACTTAAAACTTTTGTCTTAATTCCAGTAAAAACTTAAAAGTAATTACACCAATGCATATTGTATATTTTCAAAACAAACCTTCTCAATATTTAGCTTGAACTACGACTTCGTGTTGTGTTTCGAAACAGTGTACTGTATTACTGCATTTTGAATCATGTATGGCGCCCTCTATATACAGTTCTACTATAAAAACCTTTCAACTATTACTGCAGTGTAACTACAGTACTGTACTGTTACTATTAAACTACTTCTATAAATTTATATAATTATAAGGTGCATAATGTACTTTTTAGTATTATTTGTAAATTTTCAATTTCAAAGACAATAGGCCTAATGCAACAAATATGTCCTATTAAAAGGATATGGCATGAGACTGACTTCCCTCATTTCAGTGGGAGTGATTGGTCCAGTGGTTCTCAATAGGTCGGGGGTTTCATTTTGAACACGCCTTGACTTTTGTTTGTGTTTTGGGTTAAGGCAGTTTACATTTGTCTCTCATTTAAATGGGTACTACTTACTGTAGTAGAATGTTGTGAATGAATTAGTCTAAATTAGATTGTAGCACGGATACGTACACTCCATAGGTAGCAGAGAAAAATCACTCTCGACAATGTTTACTGAAGCATGAAAAGTGAGATTTTGGGAATTTGAATCCCTCAGACATCCCATATATTTTTGACTGCTCATTGTAGAATAATTATTTTGCATGCATTCAAGGTCAATGGATTACATTAACTTTGGGAGTCCTGAGTTAACAAGGATTGAACTGATTTTTTTTTTCTTTATGTCTTATGTAATACAGTACTTCAATTATTTCTTCTAATTCTATGCTCTACTATTGTACCAAATTGTATATTTTGACATAATATTTTGATATAAATTTTTGCTGATTGATTACACTACATGAAAAATTGTGCTAAATTATTTATATCTCAATGTCATAGTACTATTCAATATTAACAACCAGAAAACTAGATATTAAATATATATTTATGCTTAAACATCTCATGTAATCCTCTACAAATTATATTCTCTAATGCTTTAAATTGGAAGGTTGTCAATTTTATAGGTGATCATTAATTAGCAAGTAATTGCTTTTTTTCTACAATACATCAATTTTATTACAGTATATAAAATTAATTAGCCATAACTGGTTGCTTTCATTCTTCATTATATTGGATACATTTAATTATAAGGAAGTTTCAATGCTGTAATGAGTAACATATTTTAAAAATCAATTATTGCATTAATCAAATATTTATAAACAAAACACAACAATCAATGTTTATGTTTAGTTTGGATATGTTAAAAATATAATTGATAAAACAAAAAAAAAATGATAGTGTCCCAAGTCTAACAACCATGCTATGTGTAAAGTATCAGGAAAATTGCATGACATTTGAACAAACTATTTATAAGTACAATTTAAAGTTGTATCATCTTTGTCTTGTAATTTGGAGAACACATGCACGTATCCAATTAAAACACTGAATACTTCGTTTAAAAAGGTATTAACTTTCAACAATATGACACAGATCAAAATATATAAATATTTACTGATTTACATAGCTTTCAATCAATCAAATCAGGCAATTAAATGCCCTCTATGCAGTGGCATATCTAGGTGGTGTGCAGGGGATAGGCTCCCCCCACCCCAAAAAAAAAAATAAAATAAATTAAAAAAAAATACTCGCTCTTCCAGTTTAAAATCCCATTGAAAATGTTTGAAGCAAATAAATCATGCTCACATGGTTAAAAATCACCTCAAATCACCTTCTTTTGCAAGCTAGCACCTGTTCAAACTAATCATCAAGCCACCCCAATTCAATTTCGTGTCCTGACATCAGCCTCTCCCCATTTTTAAGTCTCCTAGATATGCCACTGTCTATATGTAAAACATTACTTCAATTAAAAGCTAATAACTTAATTAAACATACAAAGCAACCAATTCAAATGTTGAATATATTAAAGATTTTAGGTCATTACAGACAGATGAACATATTTAGCTGTCAATCTGAGATAATGTGCCTATATACGGTCATGATGTGATGTCATCATGACCATATTTATGCATGTTACATGGTTTTGTCCAATAAAATTTGGTAGTCAGGGCAGGGCAGGGCTTAAACTATATATTTAAGTCTGAATAGCAATTTTAGTTAGTTTATATAATGCGCCAGATCGTGATAATTCTTATTTATTAGGAGGACAATTTATCTTTATAACTATAACTTATTATTAAAATATTAAGTAATGGGACAGCCTCATCAATATGAATGCACACAATAACCCCTTCAAGAAAAACCAGGGGAGAGTAAAACCATCTTGGCATCAATCACTAATAGTTGGTAGAATGACTGAATGCTGATCAGAGGATTGTGGGTTCAAATCCATAAGAAATCAATATATTTTTTCAAAAAAATTATTGAACATTATCAGGTGGAATTATCAAATATTGGATGGATAGCAAATGGAATAAATTTTGATTTTGAAAGGAACACATGTTGGAGTCACTGGATGTGGGTCTCTAGGGTTAAAACCCCAAGTATGTTGGCCTAATGGGCTGCAAGGGTGAAACCACAGGGGTTAGACTTTAAAAAGTGGGCCACACTTCGGAATACAATTACTTTGGTTAGGAACTTTCATAACCAAAGCAGAGGAATGGTTTACCAAGTTTCTTCCTACAGATCTACCATTGACCTGTGTTTCAAACTTCATTTTCCCTTAGCCAAGTTGACTGCAGACTATGTAGATGATCAACTGCTCGCTGTGATATGTTGAGGGCAGCATGAACAGGCCGAATCCCGGGCTCTGACATTAACGACAAACCGCATACGCCAAAGTAGGCATGTAATGCATCTGTAACGTAACATTCAGAAACAGGTGTGAATTAATTTATATTTGGTCCCGGGAAGTAACTTCACCAGGAAGATAAAAAGGTATTTCGCACAACATCCATACATGCATTTGAGATCGGTAAATTAATACTAACTTAGTAAATAAATCTTAATTAATGTTAATTAAATGTACAAATTAACGTTTACCATTATTATAACTGTGCACACCATTGATTATTATTATTATTATTATTATTATTATTAATCTTTATTGGTTCTCATTGAAATTGGAAATTGGAAATTCAGGCTGAGCCCCTGGAGACTCGCGGCAGCTGCAGTACATCGGATACAAACATTTTCCTTAACCAGCCTAACTCTCAATATGAGGGTTATTTGAGGAACCAAGCGATCAGGCTTTAATTAAGCCCAACACTGTCTGGGTTTGAACTGGGGTCTTCAGCACAAGAAGTAGGAACAATTACCTCTCTGCCAACTGTTCAGTACCACTTTATGAAAAATGCTACTAGTTACAGTAAGTGATGTGATATGTAAAATGTACATGGTTATTTAGAAACAAAGAAACAATCCCTCTTAATAGGAAGGACTACCCTCACGAGAGGGTACATTGTACTTAGACAGTTATACTTTGACATTCATGTTTACATGATATAAAGCTGGGCACTCATATGATCGAATGACGACGAGCCCAACTCCACTATCTGTGATCAATGGATGACGCGACACGGTCTGCTGTTTGTCGGCGGCAGTCTGAACGGATTGTCATTAAAAACAATCAATTGAGCGCGTCAGGGTTTTGAGTTCTATATAGGATTCTGTTGGTCGAAGACCGTCAAGGGCAATGAGTGCCAGGCTAAGTTTCATTTTTCTTACGTGCATTATTAAAGTAGTCTAGATCTTAATTATGTATACTTTTAAACTAGAATTTTGTAAATTGTAGACACGCCACCATATGGATACTGCTGTTTTAAAAGCGTATGCTAAATTTGATTTTGATATTCACAGGAATACTGACACACCAACGGAAGACTTACCTGGATGGTAATCTGGCCATTTGGAGAAACCGCCCATTGTTTCATCTTGTGTGGACAATATGTAAGTCCTATTGCAGTTAAAATCAACTAAATGGAACATGTCTAGAAGCTGAAAATTAACAATAAAAATCAAACATCACCAATACAAGCATGAGTTTGTCTGAAAGCTTTTGAATAATTATATGTGGAAAAGACAAGCCAAACCAGTCACTCATCGCAAATCGTGTTTCAATGTCAAATTTAAAAAAATCTATTTTATTGTACTACACTAGTCTTTATGTATGTATACATCATGCTATGCTGTTACTTCCCCAATTTTCAATGTTAAAACAACACTTTTTAAGAATTTGATGATAGTTTCTGCATGAGAAATGCCTGAAATCATAAAGTTTGAAGGATGATTTCTCATATATGTCTTTAAACAGCTGTATGTTTAAACGCTTATAACTTCATAAGGAATTGTCGGATTTGAATTATTTTTTACCATTTTATAGCACTTATAATACTCTTTAACTCTGTATTAATACCTCAAAATCAATTTTTGTGACGAGTGACTGGTTTGGCTTGTCTTTGCCACATATTATGTTGTTATGTTCATTTATATCTTTTTTTTACAACTACACAGGAGTATGGAAAAACATTTCTCTAATTAAGATATATAATGATATAATATGTGCTATGTGTGTTGTCAAAAGAGGCTACAATGACAGGCCTTTTGGCTTTAATGTAGTCTGTTGGCCATCATCCTGTTAATATTGTGGTTTTCTTGTTTTTGGTTTTATTGCAATATATTGTAAATTGTTTTTGATTGGCTAATAAATGTTACTTGAACCATGAACCATATTTGGAACCTGATGATTCAATTTTTGGCACCTGATGACTAACTTTGCAATGACACCTCACATTTACCTTAAGTGTTGCTCCAACCCAAAATGAATAGCATGTATCCACAGGTTTATTGGGTCTGCCTTGGAAGCCAGATTGTTGACGTTGGATGCACCATCTTTTCAGTTTCTCCAGTTGTTTTTGAGATAATGTGCTCTCCAGTTTACCCATTAGTACTAGTGAAGCTATTGCACAAAATGTTGTTCCACCTACAAGTAATTGTAAATAGGGCCTATTATATACATACTGTACATATTAGGCTAAAAATAACATTAAGTGACAATAATACTTTATTTTAATTTTTTAAACTAACTGTATTAACAGAAAATGTTTAAATGATAATAATAAACTATATTAATAATTATAACAATAATTGTATAATACGTATATAATTGTATACATTTGGGGATTTACTATTCTAATTTTATAATAATTCAATTATTAGAAAGCAAAAGTTATAATCACTAAAGATCCACTGATTTCTTCAGTGTTAGGCTCTACATTATGGTCAATCAATCAATCAATCAATTAACCAACCAACCAACCAATCTAAAATATCAAGATTTATGAGACAGATATTTTTTTATATGCCATAGAAGGGTGTGATGATGTCATATCACAGCTATGTGCATTCACAGGTATGTTCATAGTGTGGACAAAACTACAAATAACAATGACCTTACCATGACCCTCATCCCCTGGACCTTGACCTATTGATGATTCATATGTCTGTCACAAAAACAAGAAAAAAAAAAACATAAATGAAATTTTAAAAAATAAAATCATATTATTTTAAAAAGTTAATTTGTGGGTGAATTTGCACATATATGTAATGTGGAAGAGCCATACATGAGGTATATATCAAATACATTTTGTGAGTTAAAATCAGTGGCGTAGAAAAGTATTTTTCTTTGGGGGGGATGATTGAAAATTCTTGGAATTAAAATTACTGATGTCGTACACACCCTTCAGTGTGAAAATGTGGCTTGCTTTGCAAGCACATCTAACATCTAAGGGAAAAAAAACTTAGATTGGTACCAGATAAAATAATTTTGTTGTCAACATTATTACATTATGCTAATTTTCATCTTTGTAAGCGCATAAGACATTGCAAATTATTTCTGTGACAGTCTTTTGAAGTGTGTAAAGCTCCATTTTATTCCATACATAGTCAAAATATTGTGGGGGGGGGGCAGCGTCGTATGATGGCTTCAACTGCAAGCGTTGGACAAGCAACGCTGTCTGCTGATTGTTGGCGGCAGTCTCAACTTATAGCCATTAAAATAGATCAATCATGGCATTGCGTTCTCTATAGAATCGCATTGTCTGACGACAGTCATGCGTAATGGGTGCCTGCTTTACTTTCCAATAGAAAAAGAGATTTTTTGTTACTTCAACTGATCAAGGAACTGCAGCCCATCCCTTCATTCTTAACCCTTTTACTTTACAAACCAGAATTTAACCCTGGTAACAAATACAATAATATTTGTTGACATACAAAACTTTTCTTGATATATTCCGTGGCAGTGTTTTGGTCCATTCCCCTCCAGTCATTCAAGATATAACAGATGCAGCTAGCACAGTATATAAACCTCATATCACTCTCACTGCCTTTAAGAGTTGCAGTGTAGCTACAGAAAAAAGTTAAATGACACATTAAGATATAATAGAAAAGATAAAATAATATATATTTTATTGTCATACGCACAAGGTAATCATTGAAAGTATGTGAACATAGTGATACAAATCTAAAAAATAATTGATAAACAATAAAATGATTTGATTAGCTATTACATTTTAAACACCACTTACCATCCATTGCTTTTCTGTAATGCTTGCAGACCTGTAATTATTGCATTTTTATTGACCCTTGATAAGTCGTCACCAAGAACAAGTAAGGAGCTAAGAGCAGTGTAGGTCATTGCAATGTGGCTGAAGTCATACCCCAACCCTGATTTTGGCTCCTGTAGAAAAGATTTTGAAATCCACTATATTGTATGAACAACAAAATAAAAATGCATTTTAAGAGTGAAAACAACCTGTCTACTGTACATACCTGTGATGAGTCGTAAGGAATTCCAAGAGTGGATGATCCACGAAAGCCACAGCGTTTTTGCGACTCCTCTGTGCACAAAAAACAAACAACAAAAAAAAAACAAATGTTAAAATAAACAATGTATTAGCTTATTGGTCATAAGCCATATTGATGGATATACGATTTTCAACAAACATGCATTTTTTAAAATATGGTATGCCTAGAAAAGACTAACCTAAAAAATATTCCAGGCAAAGAAAATTGTGAAAGGGAGAGTAAACTGATATAGTGTTTTAAAAAGGTTAAATATTATAGGAAGTTGGAACCAAACAAGTGGCGGTTTATTAAAAAGAAAAGAGCTTCTAAAAATGAATAAGTTGCAATTTGGTGAGTTGAGCTATAGCCATAATATCGGCGCTGGTTCAAACGGCACGCTCGCCTATGGTTCTGGTGGTAGAACAAGTCTTCTCGGATAAGGACTATAAACCGTAGGCCCAGTGTATACAATGGCTCGTGTGCACTATAAAGAACCCAGTACACCCTTCAAGACGAGTAGGGGGATACCCCGGTGTACTGGAAGACTGTCCCTGTGGTGGACGACGAGAGTTGCTGGTACCGGGTAGCACAGACACAAAGGGACCCTTAGGGGCGAAGAAAGTCATTGATCGAGTTCCTAGTCCACATATCAAGCGCCCTGAGCATCGTACATTAGATGGATATGTACGCTATAAAACTACACTATTATTATTAATTAGAAAAAGTAAGGAAATTGGTGTAGAAAAGAAACCAAACTACTTGTAAATACTTGCAGAATGTAATCAGTGATTACTTTAAGAAATGATAATGCAGGTGGAATTTTGAATCGCAAAAGATTCTTCTTTATAAGTGCAGTTTTAAAGGTTCACTGTTAAATATCAAGTGTTGGTAGTTACCCAAGTCATTTGGATCAGGTAGAACTTGCATTGAATAAATCCAATCTATGCATTCTTCCTTTTCTGGAATGTTTTCTTCAAGAGCACTTAGTAAATCTAGCCCAGAAATGGCAAAAAATGCAATAGTCATCCTGCAATACAGAAAAGAAATTTCAATTGGCAAATACTGATTCCAAAATTATAGTAATTACTACTAGGCATTTAGAACCTTGGTTATTAGTAGTTACCAACATGAATTTAGCTATTAAAATTTTCATCTGAACTAGCCATATACAGGTGTAAAAATGCATTTCAGTTGCAACTAAGGCAAATTTTCATAGCACCTTGTGCTAATTGCTATGTTCTGACACGGCAGATAACGGTTAGCAGGATCTGGATCCCGCTAACCGTTAGCTGCCGTGCGTCCATGCGAGAAAATCCCGATCCAGATACCAACAATATGATGATTGAATCACTGGCCAATAAGAAACTGGAAATTGTAAACGCATATGTGTGACTGGTTGATGATAGAAACGCCCTCACCTTGCTAACCGATAGCACTTGTCAACCGTTAGCTCACGCAGGTGTAGCCCAGCAACGAAACTAGCTAAATGCTCATGTGATAGAAAACACATTGCCTCCTGGATTATTGACAATGTGCAAATTTATTTATCTATTTATGAGTTTAGGCAAGGACTAATAATAATACATTTCAGTAGTATTTTTCTACCCAACAAAATACCATGGCAGAGATATTATTAATAAGCAATTAGTAGAGCTCCGCATAGTACACTATAGGAAAATTATTGTATGAAGGTTAGATTTAATGCTTGAAAAAATTTCTGAATGCATTAAATCTAACCTAAGTATAATAATTTTCCGTTTAGTGTACGATGCATGCTCTACTAATTGCTTTATAAGTCAATCGCAGTCTTTTAATTTTAGTTTTTTATAACCAACTGACATTGTAGCATCCATTGGTTGCTATAGTGATATGATCAGTATATGTGTGCATATTTAAAATTAGTTGTGCGTATGCTAATTTTTGCTCCTGCAGTACGCGTCTAACTCATCTAACATCAGTATAGTACGGATACGATGAATAACTATTGTGTTAGAAAGAACTTGTTTGTAATGCTATATTGATAGACTTTCATCAAAGAAAACATTTCAGCATTCGAGAGGGAATACAGTCACTGACGTCCATTTTAGTCGGAGCATGCAGACAGGTAAAATCGTGCGATGATTTCATAACTAGGCCAAGCTACGGCCTATGCCTAGTAATAGTAGGAGTTGGCCCGGGCAGCCTGCCTGGTTGTAGGCCTACATCTACATTTGTTCCTTGAGTCTTTAAAATAGGTCTAGAATATTTCTATTAAACGTTCAGTTTTTTGTCTTTATGAGAGTCCATTGATTCAATTAATTCCTTAATTGTTCATACTTATATTGAATTTGAAGTAACTTTCTTCGGGTTCTAATTAAGCTTGTTTTATGAAAGTAATTTTCAATTACAATTTAATTTTTATCGCAGTGCGCGATGTATTCGCGGCGGTGACGAAAAATGAAGAATTTTTTTTTGCAAACAAACCTTAAGAAAATCAAGCCGAGCATCCAAATAATACAAAAATTATTGGACGCTGGGGAATAGGCAAATAACATTGGGAGTTACAGTGATGACGTCACGATTGACTTATAATAGGCTAGGCTATTGTATGATTTTGCGAAAATAGAAAACATCTTTTTTTCCGCCTGCCTCTGACGATGTTAAAAAAATAAGTTCTCTGAACTATGTTTTAAAACAGTCTCGCCTAAATATCAACATGAATCTAGTGGCTTAGGCGTATGCTAGGCTCGGAGTAGCACTAAACTACGCCACCGTGCTGCGGTGAGGGCTACCCCTCTCTAGCTGCTCACACAGAAGCAAACAATAGCCTAGCTAGTAGTAGGATGCAATTTATTAAGTATTGCCTAAAATTTGCTGTTAGTGTCTCATACCTGCTCGTGTCTAAAGAGGAGTCTGCTCACACAGAAGCAAACAATAGCCTAGCTAGTAGTAGGATGCAATTTATTAAGTATTGCCTAAAATTTGCTGTTAGTGTCTCATACCTGCTCGTGTCTAAAGAGGAGTAGCCCGATGGAAGGACTTGAGTGCATCTTTTAAAAAATTTTATATGTTTTTTAGTGAGAAATTCCGTTGCTAAAGACATTTCTAATATTATTAATAAAACTAGACTTCCGAAATTGATAGGTTTATCCTAGTTCAAGGCCTAACCGGAAATTACAGACGACAGTGTCATTAACAGATAACTATAAATATTCCAGAAGAAAATAGACGTAACTGCAATATTAAAAACATATAACAGTTCAAATAAAAAAAATTGAAATCAATTTTTTTTTTTCATGAATTCTAAACGAAATTCTATTTTTAGCACCTTTTAAACATTTTTATAGTGGAGAATTTAGTAGTTTGTTTAGGGCCGACTGCTAATAATCGATGGATGTAAATCAGATGTAAATCAAGTACCGTACCGGTAAATGATCGGCTAACATTTGAAGAAGGATGGTGAAACTTCCTACCCTAATTGTGTTTGCAAGTTCACATAACCAATTTTGCTGTCGGCCTTTATTAAGAACAACTGCCGCGATGCCAAAGAAAAAGGTGGTATCAAATATTCAAAATCAAATAAACTAAATTTCTTTTTAGTTAGTATTATTATACTAGGCCTAGGCCTGGGTGTAGGCCAATCATATAGCCTAGCCTAGCCAGGCCAATAGTAGCCTAGCTAGGCCTAATAGTACTACTACTACTAGGCCTAGCCTAGTAGAGTAGTAAGTAGGTAGATAGTATTAACATGGAGGTATAAATACCTCCATGGTATTAATATGGGTGTGTGACAGCAGCTTAGACCTCCCTGACCTGATACTCTTTTCTAGTTTAGACATGATAGTACCAGTATTTTTATAATATGAAACCTATTTTTGCAGGTTGCTACTTTTACTAATGGCAATGCCAATGCTGCTGAATCAAACCCTATAATTTTGAACAAAAATGGATCAATAGTTATCAATGTACATGCTAAACCAGGAGCAAGGCAGAATGCGATTACAGGTACTGTATTAACCTTATTTATTCTTGTCTTGAAATTGCAAGCAAATACGGTTATGATATAAATAAATGCCAATAAATACGAGCGGATGAAACTTTGAGTTTGAGGGAATGCAAAGTGCGAACTATAAACAAGGGCAAATTTATCGAAAACCAATGATGAGATTGGACTCTGTAACTCAGGTTTTCAAAGAGTTTTGGTACTCTTAAAGATTATTCCAATCCATGTTTTGAATTACAGTCTTGGCAAATCCGACCAAGCACTTATATCAATTAAATTGTGCACATTTCATTCTGAATTCACGCTTTTCAGTGTGTTCAACCTAGGGGTTTTTTTTTTCAAAAAAGCAAATTATATTTATAATAACTACTGTAATTGAATTTCCACTGTATTGTAATTGTAAACTGTCTAAATGTATTATTTGTAAATGGGTAATTTTGTCACCATATAAATTACTTAACTTATTAATTAATTAACTTATATTACATATATCTAGGTGTCAAGGTCCTAAATTATTGGTATAACAGCTGTAATGACATTATTGCACAACTGTATATGTGGCACAGAAAAGCCAAACCAGTCACTCGTCACAAATCGTGTTTCAGAGAAAATGGCCAAAACATGCTGGAATGTCAATTTTTTTTAAATCTATTTTATTGCACTAAACTAACTTTTATGTATCTACACACCATCCTATGCTGTTATTTTCCCCATTTTCAATGTTAAAACAACACTTTTTAAGGATTTAAAGCTAGTTTCATGAGAAATGCCTGAAATCATAAACTTTGAAGGCTGATTTCTCATATATTATTCTTTAAACAGCTGTGGGGTTAAAGGCTTGTAACTTCATAAGGAAATGTCGGAATTTGAATGATTTTTTTACATTTTATAGCTATTATTTTACTCTTTACCACTGTATTAATAACTCAAAATCGATTTTTGCGACGAGTGACTGGTTTGGCTTGTCTTTGCCACATATGCAGATGGGTAGCATGCAGTGACTTGAATTACCAGATTAATTTTTTTTTGGGGGTGTGCCAAAATATGTGGAAGATTAAAAAATCTATCAGTAGGAAAAGTCTATTACGGTAAATAACAAGCTACCAAAAGAAAACAGCAGTTATAGCAAATTTGAATTCAAATCCAGGGTGAAAACTATATAATTATATGTTAGGTAAAAATAGGAAATTTGCACAAATTAATGTTCACAAAACTTTAACTGGATCCTTTTTCACTAGAAATGGCACCCACTTGACGTGGCATGCGCTCAAAATAGCATTCGTGACTAGACACCCCTCAAAATTTAAATGAAACAGCCTACCTTGGCGCAAAGCGCAAGCCATCCCGCAGCCATGCATCGTGCTCATTCAAGAAAACCAACATCTCAGAGGGGAGTTTATCCAGTAAGTATCCACTCAAAGACTACCAACCATTGAATTTGGTAGTCTACTTCGGGAATACTACCTGGATAAACCGACTAATTGCACCTACAAGAAAGATGAAACAAGCTTACATGTACCTTAATGTCATGGATGTAAAAAAACCGTCCCCACTGGAGAATGGCCGACGAAATCTTTCAAATAGAAATGCTGTGTGTCCTCTACCGAGCTGTTTGAAGATTGTCTGCGATTGGGACCTTCCGAAACAACACCCAAGAGGTAACCGAGCCCCGCACTGCCTGCAAATGTGCAGGGGAAGGAGTGTGTGAGGAATCGTAAGCCATTTCTGTGGCCTTCGACCACCCAATTTGCCAGTGAGGCCTTAGATACAGGGCAAAAAAGGACCACGAAGAAAGAAAGAGATGAGAAGAATCATTCCGTAACTTCATAGTTCGATGGAGAGATAACTTCAAGTGCCAACAGGATACCAGAGTTTGTCTTCCGCAACCATGATATGGTGGGAATGAACACAGCTGGTGATGAAAATTCTGTGTTCTGGCAAGAAAGGAAGTGTGAAAAATCAACCCAACTCCACCCTGCTTAAATCTTATGTGCCCAGGTTCAACCGACAAAGCATGAAACTCCCCACACGTTTACAAGAAGCGAGTACCAACAAGAAGAATGTATGTGAAAAAAAAAATATTTTCAAATTCAATTGAGAGATGGTTTGGGGCTGTTCATGCTATATTTCATTCACGTCTTTCATAGTTCATGAAAAATTAAAACTACATTTTGCTTCTTCGTGGTGCAAACAATGATAAGTCTGTAAGGACAGGACAATCATTTTAATGTTTAATTTTCTTTCTGTTTTAGACATCTCTCCAGATGGTGTTGGAATTCAGGTTGCTGCACCACCAAAAGAAGGAGAGGCAAACACAGAACTGGTTAGCTTTATAGCAAAGGTACTTGGGCTCAGAAAAGGCAGTGTATTGCTTGAAAGAGTAAGTATTTAATTTGATGTTTCTTTTTTCACCTGAAGAAGTGCGTAGAATGGAACTTTGTGTCTCAGTAAATGGAGATTTAGAGAGTTCTGCTCTAGTATTTAAGAAGTAATTGGATCCCTAAACTTTTTTTTTTTTCGTAGTGTCTTGACTTTTTAATAGAGTAACAAGATCTAAAAACATACGCATATTTCAGGATCTGTTCTGTTTTTTATTGACACTCTAGAAATGTACTAACAATTTTAAATCAACAGATTGGTTAAGTAGTATAGGACCAATATTCTAATACACTACTTTTTGAAATAATTATTACACTATAGGTTAACGCAGCTCACATTCTCTGATGTTAGAAAAAAATTTTATTTTCTAATCCAAAAGGGGTCAAAGTCCAGGCTGAAGGTCATCAGACTTGAATCTGATTCATTAACAGTAGCAAGAGTGATGGAATTACTCACAGCAGAATCAAACAATGGATGATTACATTTTAAGCAATGTTTTGTCCAATGAAGATGTAATGATGATAAAGAAGAGCTAGATGTCAATTGTCATTTCTGGACTGATGAGTGACTGAAGACTGCATTAACTGTACTAGCTAAACACCTTTGAAAATGAGGCAATCAGTTTTTTATTTTGAGTTGTTGGAGGAAAATGCAGTGCTGTTATGGTTGGTACACTTATATAATGCTTAAAACCAACAAGGCCTCTAAGCCCTTCACATTATCACTCCTGGTCATTGGATCAGGCACATATAGGCACATACTCAACTCCCTGGGGAGAATTCCATAATGTTTGTTGCAGATCAGTGCATTTTGAGCCTAATAGGTACCCACTTGTACTCCTGGGTGGAGAACGACAACCATAGGGAAAGTGTGCCTATGACAAAAGTGAAATGCACAGCGAGGGATTGAACCTCCTACCTTAAGGTTGAGAAGCAGAACGCAGCTGCTGCGCCAAACAATTGCAAAGTATCAGTTTGTTATTTATTTAACTCTGTGTTAGCATTTTCTAAAACACTTTCAGTTTAGTTTTAGGAAAGTCTACAGATTACAAATTTGGCTTTCCATTCATCAACCTTTCTATAATAATCATATTGTTCAAGCAATTTGGGATGATTCAATACCATATAAATACTTAGGTTTGCCTTAGCAAGACATTACACAATTAAGTTTATTCAGTCCCATAACCCTGACATAAAGTTACAAATAACTGTTACGACTTGCAAATTGTTTGTTAAAATTGTTTTCACTGATGAATATTGTATCATTAGTTTCAAGGGAGGTTGAAGCAAGTTCTTTATTGAATAAAATATTGCCATGGTTGTTGGGTCTTACCATATAAATATAACAGAATTATATATAACACAGGTCAGTGAAACAATATTTTCAGTACGATAGAATTTTGTTACAAGAGCATATATGAGATTTTTATATGTATTTCTGATGTCTTGATGTTTTATGTCCTGGGCATTTTCCCTTTGTTTGGACATTGAGTCTGTGGAACCTGTCCTTTTGCTTCCTTTTTTCATCTGTTTGTCATTTAAAAGAAATTGAATAAAGAAGAAAAAAAAAATTAACAATAAATCTGATTTTGAGCCTGATGAATGTAGATGGTAACTGTACTAATCTGCAACACAATAAAATTAAATTAAATTAGAACAACTTTATTAAACTACTGTATTGAG